GATATCCCTAAGTAGGTCAAGAAGGAAGATTACATTTTCACATAGATGGTCCAAGTATCAATACAGGGGTAATGATCATACTCCCACTCTTCCTAATATCAGGCCAGAAGCAGTCACAATTTTTAGTCAGTTGTTTGGCAAGCCAATGCCATGTGGAAATAAAAAACAAAAACAGTTGACTGAAATCCCTGGAGAACAAGGAATGAAATATACTTCCTCCCTAAGTGGTGAAGTAGATAGAGTGCCAGGTCTATGGTCAGGAAGACTCATCTTCTTGAGTTCACATCTGGCCTAAAACACTTACTAGCATGTGACCCTGAGCAAGTCACTTCATCCTCTTTGCCTTAGCTTCCTCATCTGTCAACTGAGCTGGAGAAAGAAGTGGCAAACCACTCCAGTATCTCTGCCAAGAAGACCCCAAATGGGATCACTCAGAGTTAGACACAACTGAAAAAACGACTGGACAACAAATAACCTAGAAGAGCCTCAGTTCTTTTGTATGTAAGATGGAGTTACACTAGATAATCTCTAAGGTCTCTCCCAGCACTAAATCATATGATTTATCAGAGAAAAGAGCCAATAATGATAATACTGGTTCAACTGTGTTAACTCCCCCAACAAAAATATTTGTCAGTAATTTCCTGGGAAAAGAAGAGTTTAAAAGAATCATTGTCATTTTGGTTGAATAAAAGACATTTGTATTCCAGTGAAGTTGTATGAAGACTTTATAATTATAGGTTCTTAGAGACTGTCATAGAGGTATGCTGGCAAAACAACTGGCTATCCCAGTACAACACACTTTTAAGTTTGATATTAACTTTTTCTCCATCACTTTTTTTTGGGGGGAGGCAGTTGGGGTTAAGTGACTTGTCTAAGGTTATACAGCTAATAAGTGTCTGAGGCTGGATTTGAACTCAGCTCTTCCTGACTCCAGGGGTGGTGCTGTATCCACCACACCACCTAGTTGCCTCCAACTCCATCACTTTCTTAAGTCTAGGCAATCAATAAAACAATGAATCAAGACTTGATTTATATAGCATTTGCTGATTTCTGAGCTGTGATGCTCACACTGAAAATTTACTAATCAAGTCTCAAGAGACAGTTCTAACTGTCTGGCTCCAGTACCTCTGGTTGTGAGGGACTTCTGATCCAACTCATACTTGATCAGAAATCTATTCCACAAAACATGTAAGAGATGGCTGTCCAGCTTTCACTTGAAGACTCCTAATAGGGGTAAACCCACTAGCTCCTGAGATGGCTCATTTCTCATATGGCTTCAGGTATAGGTTTTGATTACTCAATCTAGTCCCTTACATCTAGCTGAAATCCATCTCTCATCAGCTTGCACCCACTGATCCTAGTTCTGCCCAGGCAGAATAAATCTGCAAATACATGCAGAGAGTTTTCAGATTTCCTTTGTTTCTTCTCTTATCCAAATAAACATCCTTAAGATCTTTCAGCCTGATCTTCTGGTCAAAAAAGGAAATGTGATTAGTCTGCAACATGAGCTGTTCTTAATGAAGTCATCTGATTGTTAATGATCCCCAGCTTCTGGTTAAACTGCTACTTGAAGCAAACATCCATCTTTTCTACAACATAATTAATAATTGTCTGAGGCACTGATGTGTTAAGTGACTTGCTTAAATGATAGCCAGTATGTCAGAAGCGGCACTTGAACTCAAGTCTTCCTGACTGCTAGGGGTCATCTATCTAGCCATAGATATGATGATTCTTCACTTTGTAACTGAGGAAGGTCAAATGGAAAGGTCAAATCACAATCAAATAATATAACTAGCTGCTTGAAGACTTATCAGGAATTGGAAACTCACTACCTTCTTCTTTACCTTGAGTCTAAGTCAGATGTAGGCTTTGGTCTGCAGCTGCTCTTTGCTAACTTGTCTTGCCTATGTAAGGTGACTGAAAACGAATTTAAACATGTCAATCTGACTTGTGACTCATGGAACTGCTGGGAAGACGTCTGCTTAAAATCACCTTTCAAAATCTTTTATCAGGGATAATCATGAAAGAGAATCAGCTTGCCAATGAGCAACCCATTCCATTTAGTAAGCAAGGAGATGCCACTTACTTTGAACCTCCATAGGCCTCCTATGTCTTCAGTCCTCTCGAAGCAAGTGGGCTGAAGTCCTTCGTCCAGACAGCACTTCAGAGAGATCAGGCCACTCATTCCAGCTCCGATGATGGCCACATTCTTCGCCATGGTCTCCTGTGTGGATCAGCACTTAACAGTGTAGAAGTGTTTCAATGGGATGTTGTAAATGTTGAGATTTCAGCATCCCAGCCATTGAATATAATCCCTCCTCCCCCCCAAACCCTGAGCTCTCTTTGGAGAAGCATGTTTCCTAAGCTAAGTTAGAAGTCTTTTGTTATAAGCATTGTTTGCAGGACCTGGATTTAGTGCTGAAAAGCAGTACTGCCAAACTATTCATTAGCACGAATAGGGACAGGAGTCAAGCCTCCAGAGGCTTGTTTTGTGTTTCTTCCTCTTTCTCCTCCCCTGACCTCCACCTCCTCCACACCCATCCACCTCCTTGCTTTGAGAAGTGGGTATCATTCTTACCTCTTGTCTTTCCCTTTCCTCACTCTACTTGGAATGAGCTGCTCTCTCCTTAGCCCAGAATGCCAGGTGACAGGCAGACAGAATCATTTTAAGAGTACGAGAAACATTTGAGAAATGGGAGGAGTTTCTCTTCCCTCCTCCAGCATCTTGCTGGCCAGGCTCTGCCTCCTAGAACTAGGCAAGAGGCTGGTGACCTAAGAAGAGAGGGCATTGAAACCTGATATGGTGTAAAACCCTCATGTCAGGTGCATAGTAGGCATTTTAAGGTTTTTTATGTATTTAAATTTTAATTTATGGGGTACAGTAAGCATTTTCATAACATAGTATAATAAAAAGGATGATTGCCCATGAAACTGCAAGTCTATTATGTACAACTTGCTATTCATTTTAAATATATAATAAAATTATCATGTACATTTCTTTTTTTTCTTCCTCCCCTCCCCCCATAGATGGCTACATTAGACACAAATATGTATGTATATATGTACATATGTATGTATGTATATGTGTATAAAGATAGATGTGAAATCATTCTACACATGCTACTACTTATCAGTTCTTTCTCAGGGTGCAGATAACATCTTCTTTCATATGTCCTTTGTAATTAGAGTATTTATAATAGTCAAAATGACTTATTTGCTCAGAGTTGCTCTTACATAACACAAGTTCTTGCAACTTAAATTGTTCTTGTGTTAATGTACACAATGTTCTCTTGGTTCTGCTCATTTTGTTCTTCATTATTTCATGCAAGTCATAGTATGCATTTAAATGCTTATGGACTAATGATAACTCTGTACATTTTATTTGTTTTCCAGTTTGCCAAGTGCTTTCACATTGATCATCTCATATGATTACAACATATGGGCTTGGTAGATGTGTGTGTGTGTGTGTGTGTATACACACACACACATATATATGTGTATATTTATATATGTATAAATCTATATGTATATAGATTTATACATATATACATAAATATATCTATGGGGGCATCTGTGATTTCATCCATGTAGGGAGTTTCACATGAGGTAATTCCCTTCTCTGATGCAGATGAATACCTCTTCTCCAACTTTGAGTCTTAGACAGTTGCTTGAGGCACTAAGATATTTAGGCACTGGCTCAGGGTTGGTCACGCAGCCAGTGTGTGTGTGTCACAGGTGGGATTTAAACACAGGTATCCTGACTCTGAGGTCATGGATCCACTAGATAAGGGCAAGTATTATTATTTCTCATTTTGCATTTGAGGAAACTGAGGCTTAAAGAGGATTAATAATAATTGCTGCTACTTATATAGTGCCTTTTGGTTTGCAAAGTGCTATACAAATATTAGCTCATTTGATCCTTACAACAGCCCTCTGAATTAGGAGCTATTGTTATCCCCATTTTATAGTTGAGGAAACTGAGGTAGGTAGAAGTTGAATGACTTGCTTAGCTAGTAAGTGTCTCAGACATGATTTGAACTTAGCTCTTCCTGACTCCTAGTCCAGAGCTCTATCCACTGAGTCATCTAAGTAACAATATGATAAAATAATTAGCTGGATTGGTTGAGTGGCTGGACTCAAAGCATCATCGTTAATGGTTCAATGTCAACGTGGTAGAAGAACCTCAGTGGAGTAAGTGCCCCACAGATCTTTCACTTTGTTGTTGTTCAGTCATTTTAGTAATGCCTGACTCTTCGTAACCCCATTTAGGGTTTTCTTGGCAAAGATGCTAGAGTCATTTACTATTTCATTCTCCAGCTCATTTTACAGATGAGGAAACTGAGGCAAATTTGTCCAGGGTCACACAGCTAGTAAATATCTGAGGCTGGATTTGAACTTAGGTCTTTCTGATTCCAGGCCTGGTACTCTAACCTAGCTGCTCGGCCCTGGCATTTTTAACTTTTTTATTTATGACTTGGCTAAGGACATAGACCCTATATTCATCAATTTTGCATATGACATGAAGTTGGAATAGATATTTAACACACTGGCTAACAAATCAGGATCCAAAAAGATTGGGTTAGGGTATAGCATTGAGCTGGATTGAAAAAAGGATGAAATTCAATACGGGTAAATGTTGATTTGGGTGTAAAAAAAATCAACTTGATAATTATAAAATTGGAGGAGAGATATGCTTAGACAGAAGTGACTATGAAAAAGATCTTCGGTGTGTAGTGGGCTTTAAGATCAAGAGGAGTCAGTAAGGTCAGTAATGGGACCCAAAACACTAATACTAAAAGCTAATGCCAGCTTGGGGTTCATTAAGATAAGATTTTAGGAGTGGGGGAGAGGGGAAGGGGAGAATGACAGTCTCACTGTTTTCTACTCTTCTCAGATTTCTGGAGTATTATATTCGGTTCTTATCAGCACAATTAAAGGACATTGATAAGTCTTCTGCTGTCCTTCTAAGCAATAGTCTTCTGCTCTTTGTCTGCTCACCTATGAGCACTCAGCCAAGGGGTCCCAGTGGCCTGGACATCAGAGAAGCCCAGTTGGAAGTGCAGCGCTGCCCTTTGGTGAATGTCTCTGAAATCTGCAGAACTTTGTGCAAAGAGTGTGGCAAGCACCAGCCTCACACAGCGACACAGCACAAGAAAGGCAAGGATTCCCTGTACAGGCAGAGGAAAAATCAATCTGATCAGAAGCAGAGTGGCAAATCAATTTTCTGGGAAAAGGCAAAGACCACAAAAAAGATCATACTGAGGCTTGAATGTGTGGAACCCAACTGCAGTTCTAAGAGGATGCTTGCCATTAAGAGGTGTAAGAATTTTGAACTGGGAGGAGATGAGAAGAGAAAAAGCCAAGTGATCCAGTTCTGAGTTTCATTGTTTTCATCTTAATAGGAAAAAAGACACTCCACTCCATGACTTGGTTTCGGGTTTTCCGTCTTGGAAAGAAAGAGACTTCAGTAAAACCAAGTCTCATGCTATGTGAAGCTTTTCCCATGTAGGAAAAGTTCTTGAGTATGTGGCTGAGTGTTCTAACTTTAATCATCTACTTAATGAGATTTGTGTGTCATGGAGAGAAAGTCCAGCTGGATATTTCAGGGAGGGCTTGGTTATTAGTACTATGGCTAAAATAGTTACTAACAGCCTGGATTCTCAGGCAAATTGGGAGTAGGGAAATTAGGGACACAAAGTAATAAAGATAAGGATAGCTAGCCTCTATTTTACAGGCTTTCAGGAAATCAAAAGTAATTAATTCATCACCTTCAGGGGTTACCCCATTTTCATAATATTAATGAAGTGGTTTCCTATACCTATTTGGATTGTTAAGGTTCTTTGTGGAGAACTTATTGATAATGATTGATTTGCCTGGTCATTAAAGGGATGGCCTATTAATTGAAAACTCATTTTTGCTCTTTTTTCAAAGTTTTCAAAGTATTAATGAAGTGACTTCCCATATCTATTTGGGTTGAGTAAATCCTCTATGGAGAACTAAATAATAGTGACTGAAATACCTAATCATTAAAAGGATGGGTGTTAATTAAAAACTGATATTAATTATGTTTAGGGGTAGGTGGGAGTGACAGCTGGTCTGGATTTGGAACAGTGAAGAATGGAGGTCATTGTTCCTTTATTTTACATGTTTTTTTTTTTATTATATAAACCCATATTGGGCTTTAAGTCCTCTTGAGGGCAGAATGTTGATATTTGTATCTTGGCTTGGTGCCTAGGACTGTGCCTTTCGTACTGAAGGTGCTCAATAAATATTGAATCTTCCTGAAAAAAAAAAGAAAAAAAAAAGGACATTGATAAACTAGTCAGTGTTAAAAGAATGACAACTAGGATGATGAAAGGGCTTGATTACATGAGGACTGGCTGAAGGAACTGAACACATTTAATCTGGAAAAGATTTTGGGGGATGGGGTAGGGTGGGACATGATAGTTGGGTTCAAGTTGAAGGGCTTTCATTTGGAAGGGGATTACATTTGTTCTATTTGGCCTTAGAGGCCAGAACTAGGAGCAATGGGTGGAAATTATGGAGAAATAAGTTTAAACTAGATGTTAGGAAAAATTTACTGATGAAGCTGTCTAAAAGTGAGGTGGACTGTTTGGAGAAGTGGGGTGGGGGTGGGGTTCCCCTTTTTTTAGTAGTCTTCAAGAAGAGACTGGATGACCACTTATTGGGTAGTAATAGTGGAATTTTTTTTTTTGAGTATGGATTTTATTAGGTGGTCAATGAAATCCTTTCCTATTGCTGTATACTGTGATAATATACACAATATACAGTATGACAGAGGAAAGAACATTGGATCTAGTATTAGTAGGAACCTGGTTTTATATTCTTCTTCTTATATTAACAGTGTGACCATGAGCAAGTCAATTAAATTCTATGGGCCTCAGCTTCTTCATCTGTAAAATCAGGATAATATACCTGTGATAACTAGTGCATAGTATTTTGGTGAGGATCAAATGAGTTAATGTGTTTTGTAAACTTTAAAACTATACAAGAGGGCAGAGTCAAGATGGTGGATTAAAGGCAGAGATTTACCTGAGCTCTCCTAAATTCCCTCCTAACAATGCCCCAAATAGAATTCTGGAGTGGCAGAGGTCGAGGTGAATAATTTTCTAGCCCAAGACAACTTAGGAGGTCAGCAGGAATGATCTGTCTCATGAGGTGATAGTCAGGCCTGGAGTGCAATGTAGTGTAGGCTGCACCTGCCAAACCATCAGCAGGCCCTGGGGGCAATTGCATTGGAGGCCGCTTCTGGAGCTCTCAGTCCACAGGTGGTAATGGAGTCAGACAACTAGACAGAAGGAGATTACAGGGCATCTTTAGCCGGTACTGGGTGCAGGATTCTATTGCATTGTCCATATGCATTTCTGGGTCTCAGGTCCAGGGCAAGGAAGAACACTAGCACACTAGTGTTTGCAGCTGCAGGGGGTCACAGTTCCAGGATGGAGAAGAGTGCTTGTAATCACTCATTGGGAGTGAAGGGGTGGGAGTCTCAAGTCTAAGGCAGAAAGGAGCACTGATGCTTACAACCTCAGGAGAGCAGGAGTCTGAGTCACAATTCCAGAGTTGTAAGGATTGAAAACACTTGTAGCCACAGGGGATCTGGGACCATGGTCACAGTTTCAGGACAGAAAAGAGTATTTGTAGTTCCTAACAGACAAGAGCACAGGGCAGGAGAGCAGTGATCACACCTCTTTTTATATCATACCATCTTGGAAAAATCAGAAGCTTATAGATCCCCAGAACTAGCCCTGAAAACAATAGCATGAAAAACCTGAAGCTTGGGACAATGCACCCTCCATCCCAGGAGAAGAGCCTAACTTTATCATAAAGTTAAAAGTCAATAAATAGGCTGGAAAAGTGACCAAACAACAATGAAAACAAAACAATAATAAACAATAACAAAAACAAAACAACAAAAAAATTCACCATAGAAAGTTCTTAGGTTCACAGGGAAGATCAAGACACAAATGCAGAAGACAATGCAGTCAAAGTAGTTATAGGCAAAGCTTCAAAGAAAAATGTGACTCAGTCACAGATCCAAAAAGATTTCCTGGAAGAGCTCAAAAAGGATTTTAAAAATCAAATAAGAGGGGTAGAGGAAAAGTTGGGAAAAGAAATGAGCATGATGCAAGAAAATTATGAAAAGAGAGTCAACAGCTTGGTAAAGGAGACACAAAATTACTGAAGAAAATAATACCTTAAAAAACAGAATTGATCAAATGTAAAAGAGGCACAAAAATCCTTTGAAGAAAATAACTCCTTAAAAAGCAGAACTGGCCAAATGGAAAAAAAAAAGTACAAAAGCTCACTGAGGAAAATGATTCTTTTTTTTTATTATACCTTTTCTTTTCCGTTTTTTTTGTGAGATAATTACTCCGTTCTGCCTCTCACTTTCTCCTTCTCCTAGTGTAATCCTCTCTCACCCCTTAATTTTATTCTCCAGATATGACCCCTTCATCTTCAACTCACCTTGTGCCCTCTATCTATCTATCTATCTATCTATCTATCTATCTATCTATATGCATACATATAATTTTTTCCTCCAACTACTCTAATACTGACAAAGGTCTCATAAGTTATAAAATATCATCTTTCCATGCAGGAATATAAACAGTTCAACCTTAATAAGTCTGTTATGATTGCTTTTTTCTGTTTACCTCTTCATGTTCCACTTGAGTCTTGTATTTGAAAGTCAAATTTTCTATTCAGCTCTGGTCTTTTCATCAAGAATGCTTGAAAGTCCTCTATGTCACTGAATGACCGTTTTTTCCCCTGAAGGATTATGCTCAGTTTTGCTGGGTAGGTGATTCTTGGTTGTAATCCTATCTCCTTTGCCCTCTGGAATATTATATTCCATGCCCTGTGGTCCCTTAATGTAGAAGCTGCTAAATCTTGTGTTATCCTGATTGTGTTTCCACAATACTTGAATTGTTTGTTTCTGGTTGCTTGTAATATTTTCTCCTTGACCTGGGAACTCTGGAATTTGGCTACAATATTCCTAGGAGTTTTCCTTTGGGGATCTCTTTCAGGAGGAGATTGGTGGATTCTTTCAATTTCTATTTTGCCCTCTGGTTCTAAAATATCAGGGCAGTTTTCCTTGATAATTTCTTGAAAGATGATGTGTAGGCTATTTTTTTGATCATGGCTTTCAGATAGTTCAATAAATTTTTAATTCTCTCTCCTGGATCTATTTTCCAGGTCAGTTGTTTTTCCAATGAGATATTTCTGGGGCAGCTAGGTGGTGCAGTGGATAGAGCACCAGCCCTGAAGTCAGGAGGACCTGAGTTCAAATCTGGCTTCAGACTGAACACTTGACACTTACTAGCTCTATGACCCTGGGCAAGTCACTTAACCCCAATTGCCTAAAAAAAAAAACACAAACAAAAAAAACACAAGAAAAAAAAACCAATGAGATATTTCACATTGTTTTCTAATTTTTTCATTCTTTTGGATTTGTTTTACAGTATCTTGATTTCTCATAAAGTCACTAGCTTCCAATTGCTGTATTCTAATTTTTAAGGAAGTATTTTCTTCAGTAAGCTTTTGGACTTCCTTTTCCACTTGGCCAATTTTGCTTTTGAAGGCATTCTTCTCCTCGTTGGCTTTTTGGACCTCTTTTGCCATTTAGGTTAGGTTATTTTCTAAGGTGTTATTTTCTTCAGTATTTTTTTGGGTCTCCTTTAGCAAGCTGTTGACTAGTTTTTCATGATTTTCTTACATCACTGTCATATCTCTTCCCAGTTTTTCTTCTACTTCTCTTACCTGCTTTTCAAAAACCCTTTTGAGCTCTTCCAAGGCCTGGGACTGATTCATATTTTTCTTGGAGGCTTTAGATATAGGAGCTTGACTTTGTTGTCTTCTTCTGGTTGTATGTTTTGATATTCTTTGTGACCAAAGTAAGATAATATAGTCTGAGTCTTTTGGCGAGCTTTGCTCATGATCACAGCCAATTACTTGAGTTTTAAACTCTTTGTTAAGGCAAGAGTCTCCTTCCAATATGGAGAATGTACTGTCCCAAGCTTCAGGGGTTTGTACAGTTGTTTTCAGAGATACTTCTAGGGACCTGTAAATTTTCAGTTCTTCCAAGGTGGTATGATAAGGGGCAAGGTGTTTACTCCTTTCCTGGCCTGTGCTCTGGTCTATGAGTGACCACAAGCAGTATTTTCTGTCTTGGAAGTGTGAGGAGGATTTCCTCTTCACACCACTACAAGCTCCACCACGCCAGAGCTCCTCCTTGACCCAGGACCACCCCCCAGAACTGTGACCCAGATCCAAGCACAGGCAAAGCAAGAGATTCCTGCCTCAGCACCGACAAAAAGATCCCTGCAATCCCTCTCTGATTAGCCACTATATTCCC